GCATCACTCACTTGGCACTCAGTGTCCCTGACAAGTTAATGGGCGCTGCTGACACTCATCATTCAGTATGGACTCAGAGCCTGCAGAAAGATGAGTCAGAACAGAGAGGGATCAAGCTCAGGGTAAATCTGATGGTATGAACCAGGTCTTTCCACATCATGCCTCTTCAGGACACTGTCCTGGCACAGGGGTCAGATTAGTCCCTACACAGCCACACCAATATTTGCCATTCAGGACCATCACTGGAAATTACTTTATTTGAGACCAGCAGGTCACAGCAGATTTCCAAGCAGACAGGTTTTCTACATTGCCCTCATCTTCTTGCCAGGAACCCCAACCAAGTTTCTTGGTTGACCTCTGGTCAGCAGAGATGCAAAACTGAGATCTGGTCTGGAGGAGCTGCTCCTGCTCAGGTTTAAGAGACAGAGGTGAAATTGATTCCGCAACTGCCTCTGGTCCCTGCTTTCTCTCCATGGGCTACATCCTCCCACAGCCTGTCATTTCACATTCCTGCATTACTCTTTCAGGCTCTCACTCCAGGAAAATACTTTGGAGCTGGCTTGCTCTCTGAGAAGTTGAACGGTTTTCTGACAGCCCCCAGGGTGGATGCAAAAGCCAGGCAGGCAGCCCAGCTGCACTTCTTACCCTCCACTGCCTTAACCACAAGGAACTGCTTCTCTTTAACGTGATGCCTGTATGATGGGAGCTGGGCTTCCCTTTGTGTGCTCTCTTGGTCACTTGCAGTGAGATGACAACTTGAGATGCTTTACACTATGCCTTGGACCTTTCCCTTTTCTGTCTCTAAGCAAGGATACAGTTAAACCATAGCATCTGATTTTATGGCAGTAACAGGCCAAGCAACAGCCGAGTTCCAAAGACAAGCGCATAGAAGGGGGAACAAATTGCATGAGTCAGGCTAAAAGCTTCATAAATATTGACTGGTTTTAACAGTCCCCTAAGGAACAGAGAATCTCATTTTATAACTGCATCTCCCTCCCCATTATGCACTCCCTCCTCTCGGGGAGCTGCAAGGGGGGTTGCTCTCCTGGCTTATGCACACATTATTTTAATTCCTTTCTGCAGCCAAGCTGCTCTGTCAGGGACTTTGCATTACACATCAGCAGGGTATCTGAGCGCCTTCCAGTGGTGCTTTAAATAATGGGACTGGAATGGGTTTTGTTCTCACAAGTTTGCCCTAGGACAGGAGTGACAAAAGCAGAGGAGAAATTACATATAAAATGTATAAGGGATGAAGGCTGAAGAGGACAGGGTGGTTTTCAGTACCTTCTACTCTGATTCAAACCAAGTGAAACACAGTTGGAGAGACAGAGAGGTGCAAGAGGAACACAGACAGAAGAGACAAATGATGTCAGGTCTACAATGGTGATACAGGCAAGAAATGCAGACGTTATGGAAAAGAGAAGGGCCTTGGCTCCAGAAGGTGGAAACAGTTTGTTTGGCATGTGAATAGAGGCACATGGTGGGACAGAGGGGTACACTGAAAGTCCCTGCCCAGGATAAGGACCAAGATGACTCCTGCTTTTTCTCCCTCTCTCCAGCTTACAAAATGCTTTGGAAACCTACCACTCCAGGCTGGCTCTGGAAAGTAGCCCTTCCATATTCTCCTGCTTTCAGCAGCTCAACACTGCCTCCTGCTCCTTACAAGTTGCCCCAAACTCACACTGAATTCCCCTTGTCTGAGGCTTACTCTGAAACAGTAAGGGGTACTGTTGGGATTAAACTAAGGTTAGGTTATTTGGGGACTACATCTCTTCCAGAGGCAGTCCTAGCTTCATTAGAGCTAACAGCAAAGCCAAAAGTGACTTCAGAGAAATTGGGATTTTATATAACATACCTGAAAGCCTCCAAGAGCTACTAGTCCATGTTGCAGAAAAGAGGGAATCAGTGCACAGGGGGCAGATGAAGATTTTGAGGAAGATGATGTCTGAGAGCAGCAAGGGCCAGCTGCCCCCTAGGGAACAGGAAGCCAAGTGCAGTGTTGCTGCCAGCAGGACAGGGACCCATCCTAAGGGGTGCAAGCAGAGCAGGCCCAGAGACAGCAGAGAGGTCAAGTCAAGAGTCCCAACAATCAGGGAAACCCATGATGATGAGGCAGGCCCATGGTCAAGCTGGACGTCAATCCACTGGTCAGAATCAGGCCTGATGATAGCAACCAGGATCAAACACAGCCCAGTGAACATCAGACAGGTCTACAGTGATGGAACATATCTGAGGTCAAGCCAGGAAGTCAAGCTGCAGGTCTGGGTCTAGATCAGTAGGGGCCATTGCCAGGCAAAGGCATAGCTGAGCTGCAGAGCAGCATTCCTCCAACATAGCTCAGACAGAAACAGAAGAGCTCCAGGGCTGAGCTTAAATGGGGCTCCTCAGCCTATGGACAGAGAGGGTGGGTGGAAGCCCCAGCTGAGGATGCTCAGGACCATTAAAAATCTTAGGGCCTGACATGTGTACTCATCTCTCTCACACTCAGAGCTGGCACAGCTGAGTTTAGTAGCATCTGCTTGGGTCAAGTCTTCTCTATTCTTGCCTTTTGGGCTGGTTGGTTTTTTCCACCCTTGTCCATGTTCTGATTTGATTGTGTTTGATTACCTGAAGTCTGCATAGCTTTGTGAAAAGAGAAACTTCTACATAAAGAGGCTTAGACAGTCTAGGACCATAGGAGATAGAGATGGAGCTCCCATCTTCATCTTCTCACTATCTTTGAGCTCTAGACACAAGTGGTCAGTGGATGATGTAGAAGACATTATCACTCAGTGAAGTAACAGGGAGAATATGGAGACTGTTGTTTTTCTGCTGATAAAAAAAATATGTAAGAACAATAAAATTGAATAGTATTTCCAGCACCTGGACAAATGGACTAAAAGCAAAGGAATTTTCCAGGTGGGAGTTTTACAGAAGCCCAACACTGCAAATCAACCATCTCATAACTGCAGCAAATGCAAAACATCCGCTAGTGTCTGGCAGTGGCTGGCAGGCATCTCTCCCCCCACCCGCTGAGAGCATCCACCCACTCACAGCATCCAGTAAACTCCCTTCCAGGATGTAAATGTAAAATGGCAGTCCCTCACCTTCAGCTGGGCCCTCACTTGAAAGGACATGCACGCTATATACATGAGTTGCTTCCAAGGCTGAACAGTTGCCATGACCCAGAACTGAAGTTTCTCCACCGTGAAAGAGGAAATCCCAGGGAATAGCTCATCTTCCTGAAAGAGCTTGCCAGTAGCCCATGATGCCTCACAGCCAAGGGTAGGGAAAACCAGAGATCTGTGGATTCTGTATAAAATTAGATGAGATGGGGAAACCCACCTGCTATACCAAGGCAAAGCCAATTTCACAGCAGATCTCCAGGCAGACTAGTAGGGACCTGGAAAGCCATGTAATACCAAGTGAAAATGGACCTGACCTTCCCTTAAGAATATGGTTTTGAGTTAGAGCTACCATTGTCCATCATGGACTCCTGTGCAAAGTCGTGCTTACCAAGCTTTGGCCTTCACTACATGGGGGCTGCTCACTAGTGACCACTTTGAAATGGGCAGCTTAGGGAGACAGAGCTGACTGGAAAAGTGTTCCCAGTAGGACACAGGTGTCCTTCAGTCCAAATAGAATTTTGTGAAGAAGGAAAGGAGACTACTTCAGCTGGTTGATCACTGGCTTAGAAGACTGAGAGAAAATACAAGTTTGGTTTATGTGTACATATTATATCTGAAGGGATTTTTTTTTTAGTATTTCCTTAGTAAAGAAGTATTCCTTAATAGAAGCATCACATTCATTTTCATAGGCACTTCTTGAAAAAAATCTGATCCTTTCTCCTCCATTTTTTAGTAAAAAGTAAATATTAAAGGGATAGGAAAAGGCTAGTCATCCTATAGCTACCCAAGGTGCACAGTGAGTTGTGGGGAGAACAGGGAACCAGAAGCCAAAAGCCCAAACATGGAAATGATACTGCCTTTTAGTTAAGATGAACTGCAGGTACCACCAGATGAAGCTATGTTGGGTAATCTGGCATGATGTGGTGTCAAAAAAGCACACGAGGTGAGTCATTAGGAGTGTATGTACAAGTCAGAGCCTGGCCAAAGTGTAGTACAGATGATTCAGTTCTGCAGTGAAGAACAAAGTTTAACGCTGTTACTATTACAATATTTTTCTTGGTAAGGTTGTAACAGAAAGCTAGTAGCAGGTCCCTGATCAATAGTGGTGGACAGGCAACAAATAGAAGCCAAACCAAGATGTAGTCGTGGCCTGAGAAGACATGGAATTTGTGCAACATGACTCAATACTTTTCTCTAAACTAATAAAATATGGCTGTGCAGCCAGAACCAGCATCTGACCTTCCACTTCTTTTTTTCCCCCAGAAAAAAACTGAAGACAGTTGCCCATCCTTGATGTATTCCATATCTGCTGCCAAATCTGCACTCCTCCAGGCAGACACAATCCCAAAATAGGGTGTGATGCCTTTCCCGTTGACAAAGCCATAAGTCACGGTGAGCAAGACACACTCAACATACTCCAATCAGTTAAATGAAAAGAGCTCTCCCCCTCTGTTTCCCACCACTTCAGCACTCATTATATCTCACATTAATTAATATAGGCACTATGGAGTGAGATGATAAATTACAAAACCCCATTAACCTGATTCTGTCCAAACTGGTGACATACGGCAACTTGTACGTTAGACAAATCTTCCTTGCTCATCTGGGAGTCCTCATGTCTGATCTCCATTAAAGCAGCAGCCTCAAAAAAATATATTTTATATATGTATGTATGGAATGTATATTGATGTGCATGGATGGTGCATGCCTATGGGAACATCAGAATTCATTAAATCAGTCTGATATGAGATATATTGAACAGGTTCCATCTGACGTCTGTTACTGGGTTGTTCTGTCCACTCCCAAAGGAGTGAATCATATTGACAGGTTGAATTATATCTCAAGAAATATTTTTCTCCCCTCCTCCAAAGGCCATTTGCAATCACAGCACATCCACTGCCTCTTAAAAGTGAGCTCATCTGGCACTGGGTTGCATTGAAGTCCTCCACTGTGCCTGAAGGAAGAATGCTTTTGGGTGGTGGGAACATGGAGAAGATGTGGTCTGTCCAGCTGTCCCTTGGAGTGCTAACCATCTTGGCCATGACTGTGTACATCCCACCTGCACATGGAGAGCCTTTTTTACTACAAGGTAAGCTGGAATACAGACCAGACGACACAGGTAGGTGGTTATCTTTTTCCTTTGCTTTGCTGCTTGTCATGGCCATACAACACTTGCTTATCCATGAAAGAAAAAAAAAAATGCACCTTGAGCTATATTAAACAATTAATTAACATGGTGCTACCCAGGGACTTGTTCATATTAGCATGAGCTAAAGCTGTCCTTCTGGTCTGCAGCTGGTCATATGGCACATTCTGCTAATCAGTAAGAATATCAGAGCTGGTGAAATCTGGTAAGTATAGCTCTTTCTCTCCCAAAAGAAAATTTCCAAGGAAAAACATTAAAATATCAGAGAGTAGCAATTTGAGTATGCACCATATGAGACTTGACAGCTCATAAATGTCAATAGTAGGGTGCTGCTGAACTTTTTTTTATTCGCAAAACTTATTTTTATATGTTCTTCTCCCATAATTTAAATTAATCTTAGCTTGAACTTATTCTGCAGAGAAATGTCAATCATTAATCTTCTTTCTTAAAGAGACTTGGCAGTAGAAAAAAAAAAAGAGAGCGGCTAAATATAGGCTTGAAAATAACATTGCTTTTCGAATTATTTTTCCTCTTATATCACCTATTTATTTTTGTAATAACAACCAAAACATTCCTGAGGCCACTCTATTTAAGTACTGCTTCTGTTTAGTTTTTACTAGAGTGTTTATAGATATTTTTTTTTCTGTAGCAAATCCCCCAAATGACTAAAAGTAGCTATTTTAAAATCATAACTGTCTTTCAAGACTTAGGAACGAGGCTTACAGCACTCCACGCTAACTGCAAGTTTTACACAGCGTGTAGCTCTCTAACTCCCTCGGGTTTATTTCTAGAGATCACAACCAGGACCAGCGGCTTCAGCCGCAGCATGAGGCAGGGTTGAGTCTGGCCAAATACTTGGAGAGTCACTTTGGCCAGGGCCCCTCTGCTTCTGCAGATTTATGCAACTTTAACTAGTGGAGCTGATTCCCACATACTCTTGAGCATCCCTGGGACTCATCTGGTATAGTGTTTTGTCTCATATATTAAAAATTATTGCATTCATCCCATCACAGCTATGTCGGGCTGATGGATATACGAGACCATTTTCTCCTTTCTCACCTCCTTGAAGGGAGTGAGTGGAAGTCCTAATGATCCTAGAAGAAGAGAAAATAAGCCTTTCTGTGTCATTTTTTTAATATTTTCCATGGATTCTGTAGGCATCTTCTAGGGCTTTGTAGGGTCTGGGTTTGGGGCAGTGGTGTCCAGACCAAAGATTTTGGGGAATGGCCATTCTCCCTGTAAAGTCTGGCTCGCATTCTGTCATTTGCAAAAATAAATGCATCATTCAAGTTTCAGATGATCCTGGAAATCTGTTCAACAGAGCTGGGAGGGTCTCAGAGCCTTCAGAGCTCAATTAGTCCTATCCCCTGTGTCTGTTGGGTTCTGCTGAACCCCTGACCTTCACAACCATTCATTTGAGGGCATAGCCACAACCACTAAAGCAAAACCACTGAGAAAGCTCCCTAAAGGGGCCTAAATTACTTTAGGACAGCAGCTTGGGGTGGTTTTTACTGGAAAATAGAAAAATTCTGCGTGGCCTACAGCTACTGTAAGAGGCTTCCTTGGCAATAAAGAGGCTTTGGCTCTGTTCAGGAAGAATTCCTTAATACCACCGGCAATCAGAGAGAGCAGCCTCAAGGCTGTGTGAGTGCAAGAATAGACTTCAGGGCTGCAGGGCTTTTTGGATGTGGTGCCCACACCTCAGCCCTCATGAGGAGTGAGTTCCCACCTCTATCAGCCCTGGGAAGGTGGATAGGGTGAGGAGGGGAGCACCTGCAGTTTTGAGAAGAGAGGATCTTGTGGGTTGCTGTCTGACTTTGCAAAGGTATCACCTTGCTGAAGAGGCTGAGACTGTCCAAATCAAGGTGGTGTCTCCGGCTCTCTGCAGCCAGCCATGCTGCTGAGGCTGCAGTGAGACTGGCCAGCAGCCTGGAGCTGGCAGGGAGAGCTCACACATCCTGTACCCTCACTGCCTGGACATTTTTTTCTGTGCTCACACATCTTCCCTCTTCCCCTGAGTTCCTTCCACTCTGGCAAAGTGCTGACAGGACACATTTTCCTCCTGCTTCTTAACCCTCTTAATATTTGTTTTAAAGTTGATGGCTGGAGGGTCCATCCTTTTTGTTATTAGAGATCAAGAAATGTGTGTTTTATGTGCTGCAGAGAACCGAGTGCTTCCAGAGAGAGAAGACACAAATCATGAGGACGCACTGCTGACTCTGCTTCTTAACAAGAAACTCGCATGGCGGAGACCAGAAAATATTGGTAAGCGAAGGGGATGGGAGATGTCAGCTTCTTGCATCTCTGTTTGCATGAATGTAAGAAATCTGGTCCTCAGGTTCCTCAGAAATACCATCTGCTAAGAAAGTGGAAGCACCCAGTACATGCGATTAATGTCAGGTGTTCTCCACCATGGGGCTCCTGGACCTGCTTTAACAATGCGATGTAAAGCTGCCCAAAAACATACACCCTAGATCCTCAGACATTCAACACTGAGCTGCCAGGGGACCATATGTGTGTACATAACTAAAAACAAGAAGAGATGGTGATGAGTCCCTGTGCCCCTGCTATCCCTGAGATGTTATGTGCTACGCCTGGGGCATGGGCAGCCTTGGGAGTCACCTCTCCACCCACACCCCACACAGCCCCATGTGCCTCTGAGATACAGCTCAATGTCTTGCTGGCATGCTAAACCCAGCAGCGTGAGCACACAGGGCAGCAGGAAGGTTTTGCAGAGAGCATAAAACTGAGAACCCTTGGGGTCAGGTTTAGGCTGGGACAATGGCAGCAGGAGCTCCTGTCTGAGCCTGAGCCCCTGCTACAGCTGGAAGAAGTTGAGACAATGGGCTTTTCCCACACAACAGAGAGGCCAAAGACAGGCCACGTGGAGGCTTTTCCTGTCTGTCCTCTGTGAACAGACAACAAATTTAAAACCACCCACATGTTGTAACAGCCTCTAAACTCAGACCAGCTGAAGAGAAACGGGCTTTCCATGACACTATGCACAGCGATTACAAGTGTCATATGGATTACAGGGGTCAGCTATTCCCACGGCCACCGCAGCCAGGGGAGGGGTTGGGCCATATGTGGTGGTCTCAGAGCAGGAAGCTGCCCTTCCTTGTGAAAACAGCTGAGAACAGGGCCCAGCAAAAATTTTGTTATGAAAATCCATTCATCAAAATCACTCAGTGCTCTTCCCAAGCCCCTTGTTAATGCAGTGATGCAGTGGTTAAACAATACTGGGACAAATAAATAAACACAAATAAATCAAGTCCTTATACTAACAAAGGCATTCGTCTTGCAAAGGGGATGCATTCAAGAAATAACATTTTTTATGATTGGTTTATGGATTATTGCACTTATTACTCCTAGAGGAAAGGCTGCATTTTATGCCAGACAATTGAATATAATGAATCTCTGAGCAGAGCACAGACAGAGGATTTACAGCAGGCGGTATCTCAAGGCTTCATCCATAAATTAACTTCCTTCCCCCTGCCTGAGATAATCTGTTCCAAATTTCAACCACTGTTCATTTTCTATTCATAGCAGTCATTGTCTAAGCTTACAGTTTGCAGAAAGTTGAGCCAAAATAGGCATTTGAAACTCTGAAAGAGGTAAAATTGTAAATAATAGTAATAGTAATAATAATAATAATCTCATAAGTAACACTTTTGCCTTGTAGATATGCAGGCTTGGCTGCTTCTACCTTACAGATATGTCAAGACATGCTTAAGAGGAATCTGCCTGATGTCATTGCTGGCAGTGCCAGGAACGAAGCCTCCACCTCCTGACTCCCAACCCATGCCCATTCCCACTCTGTCTCTCCAACCAAGCCCTGATGTAATGAGTTTGTTTAGGAACTGCTGCTTTTTTCTGTTGGATGAATATCTGTCAGAAAATATTCAGAATTTTTCAACTGAATTGTTTCCTTCTTGAAGGAGAAACTGAGAAGGCAGTCAGCTCCTTCTTGGCACTCTCCTGCTCAGTTTCAAATGTGAAAAAAAAAAAAAAAAGCCCAAGTCTGGCAATGTGTCTGTGTGCTGAAGTCTTATCTGAAATCAGGGGGAATTATGTCCTAAATCCCCTTGGAGATGCAGACCAATGCCTGCTGCCAGGTTAGGAGCAGACAAAGGAGGCAGCTCCAGGGCTGGTTTTTGGCTTTCTTGTGGGCCCCAGCAGAGACATTCTTTAGCTCTTTCTTGGCTCTTCTGCTTATTTTAGTGCATTTTTTTTCCCAAAGTGGCAGTTAAAAACCAGCTGATTGCTTTGCGTTCCCCTCCCAGGAGGACTGCTGGGACTGGACTGTAGTCTGGTCACTCAGCTTTGACTGAGCTCATTTTGTCCATATGATTTCCATTGTTTCAGCTATCATATTAAACAAAAGAACCCAAAACAACTGGTTTTTTTACATAAATTTGAGTCTGGAATAAGGTACCTCAGTCCTCAAGAGGAGTGAGATTGAAATCCCACATGTCTTCCTGCAGCGTAACCTATTGCTAGTTCAGGCCCTGCCCAATCCTGCTGGAGGTTTTAGATCCCGTTCACAGGCATCTAACTCTCCTCTTGTCCTGGATGGGATATCTCAGGGCAGCTCATTCATCCATCTGCATAGTTTTTTGACAGTCTAGTACAGTACTGAGATCACTAGTACAGCCTTGAGATCTCTAAATCTGATCTACAAAGCTGGTTCCCAGACCCCTGTGCTCCCCTAACATTTAGAAGAGTGAAACCCCTTCACTCACTGCTATGGTACTGACCCTGTTCCTCCCCTTTGCCAACCCTGATGTTTGCTGACTTACAAGCAACATGCCATGCTAGGCTAAATCTATGTCTTCTGACTTCTACCTGCCTGGGTGATGTGAGGATAAAGAAGTCTTAAAGGAAGCAATGGGAGTTCCTATAAAAGGACAGAGACAGAAAAGCCAGCATTAGAGATTTGCTGTCATCAGCATAAAAATTAAAAGCAGCAAAGATGTTCACCTGAGCTGGTATCACACAGGATGTGACCCTGTTGTGTCAACACCCCTAGAGCCTGGTGAACGATAAAAAGTCTTTCCTCTTAATGGAGAATTAGGGTGAAGTCCCACAGAATTCAGCAGAGAAAGCATATTTTTCTGTCACTGTTTCTGCTACCATAGATTTGGAGATCACTAACAGGAATTAAATGATAACTAGGTCTTTTATTGTCAACCCTTGAAGAGGTTAAATGAATAAACTGTTTGGGATTTGAGCTTTGGAAAGCAATGCAGATGCTGATGTTACTCTCCCTTCTTGCAGACTGGGAGCTGGCAAAGAAATTTGAAGAACTTGAACAGGTGAGAGGAGCAAATGCATAGACACATCTATGCGTAGTGTTGCATGAATAGCTATACAACTGTGCATACTGTATTTCTTTATGTGCTATTCTTCTGTCTTTGCATCCTGCTACACAATATTCTGCTGCTATAATGTAAGCATGTCTCATGCAAAGGGAAAAGCAGAACCTGGGCTAAATAGCTGCACAAACTGGAAAAGATGAAAAGAGAGCAAGGCTATAGACTAGTGCAATAAAGGCTGAGACAGCTCTTGCCTCTGCCATCAGTGAAAGGCCAGCAAAGGACAAGCCAGGAAAAAAATAGACACCAAAGGAAATCTCCATGGAAGGGAGGGAGAAGAGGAGGTCATGCTGGTTTCCCAGGCATTGCATCAGCTGGCTGCATCCAATAACAGGTTGAAGTGAGAGGGATAGCCCTGCACACCTAATCCAGATTGATTTTTGTTTGGGCTCTTTACCAGTAAGGGAGGCCCTGCCCAGGTCAGAGCCCTGCTGTGCTGTGCAGGGTGCACACACACACACACAGGAAGCCCCATCCTACACTGAATTTCCAGGAAGAGGGAAAGGTGTGCAGCAAGCTTGACTGTGCCCCAAACCCCGCAAGCAGTGGAAGCCCTTCTTACCCTTTCTCAGGTCAGGTCCAGCTGTTGGCATGGATCCTTGATCCTGCTGGGTTCCACTTGGCACTTTTCACTTCAAACGGAAAAATCACAGTGTGACATGCAAGACGGGAGGCTGCCAGCTCCTACCCGAACCCCTCACTCCAGTGCTGAGGGACAGTAAGCTCTAGCTTCCTGGGAGCAACACAGCCAGAGCAGAAGTCTAGATCATGGCCATAGATGTTCCTGTACCTCCAGATGGAGAATACCGTGGACTTTCCACATTATAACCAAAGGAAGTTAGAAAGAGATGGGGGGAAGGGAGGGGAGGGACAGCCCAGGGCTACAGAGAAGCAATGGAGACCACCTGCCCCAGCACTGATATGGCTTTTAGTGGTGCAATATCCTTCTCCTCTCCATGGGGATTTGCACCCTGGGGTGTGGGGGAAGAGCAGAGAGTGCCTACCCTGCTGCCACCAAACAAGCAGCTTAATGGAGGTGAACATGAGGAGGTGTGAGTGCTCCAAAGACAGATCCTACTGGAACAGTCCTGCTCCAGAGAAGACTTTGTCCTCCCTAGTGATGCCATTAATGATGCCAGTGCCTGTATCTCCTGCCTCTGAACCTTCTGCCAGCACGCTGCAGAGCTCCTCATGATGGGGCATTGGTTTACTGCTGTGTTTGTTTTTGAACAGCTGGAGAAGTTGAAGGATCAGCTCTCAACTGAGGAAGGGTCAGAGGTGGCCTATGCCTTGGAAAGTCTCTCAGCATCCCAGCCCAAAAAACGCGGTAGGTTTGGGTGAGAGCCCTGAAGCCATCCTGTCCAACCCTCATTTTCAGGGCTTCCTTTCTGCAACAAAGTCAGCGACAGTAAACATACCTCAGATATGCTGAAAAACAGGTTGGCAGCTTTTCTAGCACTCCCGGCCCTCTTTTGTTAATGGCTGACTGGTTTAGCAGCTGGTGAGAAGGACTGTTTATCCAGCCCTGTCTGCTGTTGGGGCAGATACCCTGGGTCTGCACACCCGGGACCTCACTGGAGGCAGTCAGGGTTTCATCCCTCTTTTCACAGAGGAACATGGGGTTATATGAGCAATAAGTGCCTGTCCTGGAGGAGGTGAGTTCTGTGTGAACACGTCCCCACAGTGCACCCGTTGCTTTGCTCTGGGCACAAAGCTAGTGCTGAAGGCATAATGAGGCATGTGGACTGCATGCATTCCCCTCTGCCAAGGTCACTGCCTCTCTACAGAGAAAAAAGGAGCACTTGTTTGTGCTGCTGAAAAGCAGCTAAAAAGGATGTGGAAATCAACCAAGAATGCAGGGAACTGAGATCTGGTAGGTCCCCCAGTTGGTCCACAAGCTTTGTCCAGTGACTCAGGAGCATATTGCACCAGTGCTCCTTCAAGGCTGCCCCTGACAAGCACATGGACAATGCTGTCCATGCTGGCTTTCAGTGGATTCCACCACAAAGCAGTGACAGCTGTAAAACAGAAGTCACTGATAACAGATCTGGCCTAAAAGCAAAAGAGATAATTCTGCCCTTACCCCACATGCTCTGTGCATGTGCAAGCTGACAACCTGCCAGACAGCCAAGAGAAAATCCCTTTGTGCAAGGCTTGCTTATGTGTTTGGGTGACAGACAATCTGCAATTTCTAAGCAACCCTAGAGGCTGTCATTAATTTGTTTAATCTAATTCATGCCCTCACCAGTCTGGAAGGTTCAAATGTAGAAAAAACTACTTCCTCTTGCCAGGTTTAAGTCAGATTCTACCAGAAATCGAAGCAGAGAAACTTTGCCTTCATCTAAAGTCCTTTCAGTTTAGGAAGGAGATTGTCTCAGCATGAGTGCTGCTGATTCAGTAGAAGCTTTCTCCCAAGATTCTGCTTTCAAAAATCATGTAGAACCCTGCCCCCACCTCCCCACCACAGACTTGACAATAGGAGACCCATACAGGGTTCAAAGAACAGGGCATGCTGGTGATACAGCTATTTTTTCCAACACCAAATTGTGCACCCTTCCCTAATCTATTCTTCTCAGAAGATGCCACAGAGATCAATGTTGTTTGGAGATCATTTGGTAGCAGAGTGGTAGAGTGCCTGGGTTTTAAAAAACAGTATTAGGGACCAGATCAGGTCTGTCCAAGCCAGTATCCTGCTCTTCCAGCCAGCCACTGATGATAAACCTTGGGCCATCTCTGAGGCAGCAAAGCTGCTGGACACTAGACAGGAAAGAAAAAGCTGATTCCTGATATTACTGAGTAGAGCAAAAGTAAAAACCAAACCCATAAAAAAAGCAACATGGAAACAACTTTTAGATGTTTTCTTTACACTTCAAGCAGCTAAAAGAAACATCTTCTAAAAGTTTTATATGAAGTCAAAGCTGGTTATTGAGATGTGTCCAGAAACAAAAATGCTGGCTTCACACCTCAGCTCTCTCAAGACATGGGGCCTCTGAAACCCAGAGGGGGGCTAGAGTGGGAAGTTGGAAAAAATCCCTTGGATCCTAACATCCTCCTCTTGTATTCCTTCCCAGCCTGCTTTTGGAAATACTGCATCTGAAGGCTTGCCAGGACTGGAGGATGAAGTTGAGCCCTTCCCCAAACTGCCTTGCTGGGTATTAATGTGTTAAGAATTTGTTCTGTTCTCGCATCGTGCTGCTAACTTGGGTGCCATCCTCCATGACTGCACCACAGCCAGGTCTAACAGGAACCATGTCAGGAGCTGGTAGCCCACTATCACTCTCCAGTTCCTTCCAGGTTTAACCTACCATGATCTTCTACTTGGAAGATGCTTCCCAACTTCCCTTGCTGTCCTGTATGTGCCATTTGTTCTGCTGCCACTGTACACTCTTCCCCTTCTCACCAGGTCTCCCAAGGCACCAAACACTAAGCCAGTTCCCCTGAGCTTGAGCTTCTGCCCGCATCTGCAGATGTTGTTCATGGTGGTGTCTGGGTTTCCCTTTGCCTCCTATGAGCAGGTCTATGATGGCCTAACACCCACTGTTGGGACAAGAAGGCAGATGGGGTGTAATGTGAAGGGCTCAGGGCTGCCTGCCTTGGCTTGCTGAGCCAGAGCTGTTCCTCGTCATGTCCCATCAGTGTACATACAGCGTAGGTTTGGGGGAGGACAGGCATGGAAGTCTTGATCCTTTGGATGTAATTCCAATAAAGATTTTCTGTTGCACAGAAGCATGTGCTGTTTTCTTTCTCACCTGTTGCAGAGGCCCAAGGGGCAGCACATTTCCCTTGATGTAGGCACTTGTTACTTTAATGGTTCATGCAAAGTTTACAAAGGAAAAAAGGCTCCCATTAAACACCTAGCTATAGCAACACAGGTCTGGTTTTATGTGCCTGGGGAAGAGGCCCTTCCTTTTGATCAAAACTGGGAATGAGAGTTGGGTCTTCCTCATGGATATATGTGGGCTGCTGTCATCACAGGACTGGACCAGGCCCACTGATTTCTACCTAGTCACTCCAAAGAGATGTTTTGAAAATAGATTTTTGGCTGCTCAGTGCAGATGCTAACTGCTTTTTCTACTGCAGAATTATGTCTGCACCTGTCCAAAAGAAAGAGATCACAATCCATCAGTGGTTCCTACATATATTTAGGTAATGATATCTACATTTATTTGCAAAAACAATGGACTATGTTCCCAAAGGTATAAATTCAGAATAAATCTTAAGGCCACTGATGTTAACTTTGGGGTTTCCACTGGTGTAAATGAGAGCAGATGTGGTAGCCACTGTGAACATGTGGACTGATTTTGACTAGAATTGAACAGTCTCTCCAGCCCCATTGAGCCATGCTATGTAACTGTAGCTTGCATACTGCGTATTCCTCAAAACTTTACCTGTCCCAAAGCTGTAATTACCATGCTACATTCATTGCTCTGGGCTCTGGTAAGATGTGCACACTTACCACAGCAGTACCTTGTAGTACTTCATTAACAGGAGATCTATTCATCCTATTACAGGCCAAAGCTGACATCTATGGAATAAAACCAGCTTCATTATATCAGTTAGGTCTAATGACATGCAAAATACACTTTGCTGTTAACGTTAATTCTTTGTTATTTCCTTGGTAGTGATTCAGAACACATTTCCCATTTTCTGTTTTTGTACAAGTGAAAATGTATGTGGGAGCATAATTTCACATACCCCTCACAATAGCATCAAATCCAGGAAACATTATAGCCTATTGCCAAGAGATGGGTCTCTCTTTCAGAGTTTGGTGCTCTAGCTGAAAGGAAGGTGTATTACAAGAGCAGCACTGAGTGCCCCAAGCTGGTGTCCAGCTCAGATGCTTTCAGGCTGCAGGAAATCCCGGTGCGACAACAGGCTGGAGCAGCAGGCTCCATCTGTTACCTGCTAGATGTAGCCGTGCCTGCCCGACCCGGTGTGACAACTCGTCACCGAGTCAGGAAAAGGCATACAGGGCCTGTGGCTATTTAAAAGCTTGCTGTCATCCTAGGCACAGGAATTCCCTGGAATGCAATGCACCATGCTGCTTAGCAGTGGTTTTTAGGCCACGTGGTGTGCTATATTCTATCAGTGCAGTTGTTTAGGTGCTTGTGATACCCAAACTACCTCACTATTTCCTCACGGGCACTACATGCTGCTGTGTTAGCTGCTTCTGCTGGAGTGATGAATAAGTGTTGAATGCAATTCATTTACCAATTCAGAGCAAAGGCAATGATGTTCACCCTAAGCTCACCCTCAACATGTCACTGTGGCAGTCCTGTCCTTTCCACTAAATACACAGAACAGAAACTCTTATCTTCCTCAGGTGCCACCTCCACATCAAGGCTGCTCACCTTACTCATGCTTGGGCAGTCACTCTTGCTAAAGTTGATGACCCACAGGCAATAATTAAAGGGATTTCCCTTAAACATTCTAGTAGACTATGTTGATTTATTAGCAGAAAATCCTCACAGGCATCTGAATGGATTTGCAAACAGGCAGCACAGGGCAAATCTAGTGTGCAACAGATGATGCAGTATATCCTCATTTCACATTTGTTGACCTCGACGCTATGCACAGTGACTGAAGCTATCTAATAGTCTATGAAAACAAATTGTGGTGTTCAGCCTTTCAGACACCATCATATTTTAAACAGCACCAATCCAATTTATGGGTTTTAAAGAGCGATTTTAGAGCCACAGGAGGTCTCAGGGTGCTCTGTGGTGGGTGGGGCAGAGGAATAGAAAAGCTGTTGCTTTCTCCCAAGTATTCCACACAGTGAGGTGGGACCCAAGAGCAGGACTGAGGCTTCCAGCTCCCAGTTCCAAGCAACACCACCACAGACAACTCTGTCCTGCTTTGGTTTCACATTCCCCTTCAGACGGAGGGCATTTCTGCACACAACTTATAGGCTTTAATACACCTCTTTGTTTAGAAGCCCAGGCTAATACCTGCTAATTGTTACAATACTTTTATGATCCAGCAGTGTCTTTGCAAAGCTGCTGTCTTAGCATTGGATTCCTCTGATCTCAGTCTCCAAAAATATGTCACACAATGACTGTGTCCACGCTGCTTTTAGTAGACACCTGTATGAGCGGCCAGGTCATCACTTTCATTATCTGCCCATGCCCCATACATATGGCTGCCTTATAAGCAGGTTATCTGCAGACTGTCTGGATGAGCTCAGTGCAATAAGGTAATTGTTTACCAAACCACAGGGCATGCACGGGATAGGTGATGGCAGTGCCTTGCAGAGGACAGGGTCTGGGCTTGTCTGCGTTCGCAAATTTGCTTCTAGCATGGACACAAACTCTTGTCTTGAGTCAGCCAGTCTACATGCATCCACTCAATCCAGCTCCCAGAGCCTTCACCTGGAAGCTTAAAGGCAGAAAATTAGCAGCAGGACCAAGGGAAAACCAGGGAGCAAAAACCCAAGATGACTACATATGATTTACAGCCTTTCCCCACCCCCCCACCCCCCCACCTTGTTTTTCAAGATCTTGGTTTGGAAAGCATCTGCAGTGCTTCACCTCATACACAACCACTGACAACTCACCCATCAAAGGAAGAAGGATCATGTAACTCCAGTAGAGAGTGCTCTGCTTGATGGGAAAGATGGAGCCACCTCTTGACAGGATTGATGCCCAATGGTAGGACAAGGGGCAATGGGTGTGAGCTGGAACACAGGAGGTTCTGCTTAAACTTCAGAAGAAACTTCTTTACAGTGAGGGTGACAGAGCACCGGAACAGGCTGCCCAGGGACGTTGTGGTGTCTCCTTCTCTGGAGACATTCAAGACCTGCCTGGATGCCTTCCTGTGTGATCTCATTTAGGTTCCTGCTCTGGCAGGGGGATTGGACTGGATGATCTTTCGAGGGCCCTTCCAATCCCTGACATTCTGTGTGATTCTGTGATTTGTGCAGCTGCTCTCAGCAGTATTGGCCTATATTGGAGATGTCAAAAAAAAAGCAAAGTTTCTTGCAAACTTTCTGTGGCTGAGCCAGCCCTGGTCTCAGGGCAGGGCTGTCAGCAAGAAGGGAAGCGGGAAAGGCCTCTGCTACAGCTGAGCACTGCCCTCACTCACACATGAATCGGATGCTGTCTGCCCTTCTGAGTGGAGCCTCATCTCCCACCATGGCCTGAACTGGGACAATTGCCCCAGAATCCCAGTCCTCCAAAAGACTCATTGACTTCCCAAAGCTTTTTCTGTAGTTGACTGAAAAGGTGACTGTATTTTGTCACATTTTGCTAGCAAATGACCAGGTGCTTTGTGCCTCACATAAAATCAGAAAATTAACACTTAATTTCTATCTCTAGCCTTACTGCAAATTTCTGCCTAACACAGGGTATTTGGGAAGAAGCATTTTTTTCCTAGTGCTGCATAATCCCTTTTTCAACAGATCTCCTTTTGCAATGGATGATTTACACCCAACAATAGCAATCCAGGAAATTTAGCTGACATGGGCCAAAGTCCAAGAAGGAGCTTGAGGTTTAGAAAACACCAGCTAGGAAAGTGAGCACTGAGATGTCAGCAAACAGCTCTTTTCAGCTATATTTTATAATCTGGAAAGAAGTGAAAAGCATGAAACAGAATTTAAGATAACATGTTTTACTCTGAAATGAAGTGGAGAAGACATGTTTACATTTTACAAGAATGAGAAATTCTTGAACTTTTAGAGCTGGATGTCTGATTATGCCCCATGCACTCATCAAGAGTCTAAAATAAGGCATATGATGCAGATGGACTAGGAAGCAGATGACTTCATATTTGGATGCTATCCTATGTTATGCATAGGGAGGAGTGAAATGTATTCATCAGCTCAGAGGACGAAACTAGAAGTCTCCCCACATTTTAGGATCTGCCATACAATGAAAACATGTCTAAATATGGTGCAGAGATAAGGGAAAGACTACTAAAAACATCAGGGCAAATGCTAAGGTATTGTCAGAGTTCTTACTCAAACTCCTAGTGAGGTCAGTAGACATCTTCTCCCAAACAGCAGTTCAAATAAATTCTAGTTGTGTCCCATAACTGTTAAATCCTCCCTTCATGTAGCGAACAAACACCCTCTTGAAAGAAATGTCCCAAGCAAACTGTCTGCTTTTCACGGACTGCTGTTGGCATCTCTGGAAGTTTTATTTTAAATCCAAAAAATCTAACATTCCTTGCTAGGATAATGAACTTCTGCAAGTTTAAGAAATAAATGCCATGCAATTAAACTATATGCATATTTTCTGTTCCCTCCTATCAGCGTCACTGTGCTTGACAACTGTGAGAGCATTCTGACCTGATGAATTGATTTTGTTATTATTTGTAAATGCAACATTTGTAAAATACAATGTGAAACAGATTTTGCAGGAGGTCAATTCCTTGAGTGTTGAATCATTAGTCAATGACAAGATGTGCCGTGATGCATCTTCTGTATTTCTGTACTGTTTTCAATACAGCATCAATCATTCAGAATAGAAGCACCTGTAGGCAGAAAAGCAGTAAACATTACATTTTCCCATGTCAGAAACGCAAGGCTTGGACAAACACACTCTAAGGTGATCTACAGGAAATGGAAAATGTAAGAAATACTTGTTTTTTTGTAGGGGGGCACTAAGTTCTAATTTAGGACAGTCAAGCTAAGTTGACGTTCACAATCCATGTTATAAGAAGTAATAATTCGCCAAGTCACCCTTTCCAAGCCTCCATGTACCTGAGAACAGAGAGGGTTCTCTGAGCCTGCCCACACCCAGAATACTTTGGCTTACTTGCAGAAACTGCTAACCCTTGGTGTTGCCGAGATGGCTCACTCCAATCCGGTCGAGAGGAACTCCAAAACGTCTCTTAGGCAGCTCAACCACTTTCCTGCACAGGGCAAAAAAGCAAAGGAGGAAGGAAAGAATTGGGGAAAGACTTCATAGGAATATTAAAAATGTTACTACATCCATGATTTCTCCATTCATCCCACTAATGACTTTATTGTCGAGGCTGAACAGCTGTGCAGAAGCAGCCAGAAATGTGAGTATTTAAAAATAAGATGCTTACAAAAGAATAGGCAGGAGTTGCACCTGTTTCACAGACTGTCTGACTGTTGATCCACTATCCCTGTTTTTATTTGGCAGCAAGCAGATAATTCTCAGGTTAAGTGCTATTCATAACAGAAAGGAGATACACTGCATGTCTAAAGAGGAATTGTTTCATGCATAGCATCATTTACTTCAGGTGACCCATTAGCCTGGATCTTTGAAATCTCCAAGGCCAACTGGGGCTAAGGTAAGCAAGGAGGTAGAAAATGTTGCACAGTAACAGAGGGGACAAAGACAGAGGAAGGAGCCTTAGCATGATTTTCCTGTGGGATCTCCTGCAATGCTCTGTTCTCAAAAGTGTACAGAAGCAACATTTTGACGAGATTGAAGATGACAGGTTTTCTTGCTTTTGTTTTTTCCTGATGATTTAATGAATGAGGGCATGAGGAAATTGTCAAAAAAGTTCTACAAAGGAATATTTTATTATGATTTTTTAAATAGAAAAAAAAGAAGTTTTCCCATCTTAATTCCGCATTTGTGAGCATTTTTTCCACCAGAAGAAGTTTTATTTTAATGAATGGTGAAAATGGTAAGATTTTCTGCAGCTGAGAATAACCTCAACTTCTGCCCTTGGAAATGCTTGGCCCCAAAATGCAGGTCCAAGAGAAACCTGGAAAATTACTTCTTTACTCTATCAGTCCTTTTCAAGGAAAGAAGCAAGAAATTTTGTCCTTTTAAGTTTGCAAATGCAAAGTAACTACCCGGAGGACATGCTATGGTGCACTTGAGTCCAACTTTAATTGCTAGCCCTCCCATGCTCACTCCACCTGTGGCTTTGGGGGCTCTCCACACCCTGCCCAGGACTAGCTGTCTAGTCCATGGTCTCCTCTGAGCAGATTCCTTTCCTGACACTACTCGGGCATGGGCTGAAACCCAGAGGCATCATTCAGCACCAGCAGCCCATTTCATGCTGCCTTTTTTCTAGCTGCTTTTCAGATGAGGTGAAGAAACAGGAATAGACAATATACCCCATATGTAGGGAGCACTTACATGGGTCACACCAGAGCAGCTACAGAACATCGCAGATGAAGGGGAGCTGTTTGTGCAGCCCCCACTGTCCCTTCCTCAAACACCCATGTACCCAGCACTGTTGCACGAAGCCATAGGGAAGGCAAAGGGAAGAAAGCAAAGGGCTCAGCCCCTAAGGCAGCACCGTTTTCCCCCCAGGTGTTTGCACATGCTGGGGAGGGGGCAGGTGGGAGACTATGGCTGCTGGAGTCATACTGAGCTGGGCTCCATAAAAAAGGGAATTAATTTCCCAGATTGGATTGGAGGAGGGTGGGGTGGTTCTGCGTCATTAGTTGTAACATCGCCATCCTTTGTAGTTAAGCAGAGAAGAAAATTGTGAACTCATGGGGTTACACGAGCCTTTCCCCTGGACGGGAAGGGCTGAGCAGGCAGTGCAGCGGAGCTTCCCCTCTTGTGGCCATCCCGAGCCACAGCAGGACAGTCACCGCTCCCTCCTCAGCCTTCCCCACCGCTTCCATCTCCCAAACCAGACTGTGCCTATTTCAGTATTTACTGGGGACAAAACCGCATTTTCTAAGATTCCCGGAGTCTCTCTCTCTCTGTCTATGGATTTTTCTAGATCCTCTGAAGACTCATGTCTTGCATCCTTTTCCCGTGCTTTCAAAGCTTTTTACATTGATATTAATGGCCAAGATTAGGATCTGGGCCCTCCTGTAACTGGTGGGTGCCACAATAATCTGTTAATTTCCAAAAGTTTCTGTTGTGTTGCCAGGCACTACACATACTGTGTTAATTCAAGGGGAGGAATCTATTTAACAGCTTTCACACTTCCAGAGTTATTATCTGATCTCTAAAGGTAACCACCTCAGCTGGAACAGCAATGGGCTGGTATCTGCTGTGTACACAACAGTGACGGGGTGCTCAGTCCTCTGTTTTACTTCTCCAAGTGCAGCAGCCTCTCCTGTTTCCACCTAAAGGCACAGCCTTACTACTGCTTTGTAGCGCTCGTCTGCTCTGTGGTTCATGCTAATGGTAGTATCTACCTATCATTGTAGTGATCAAGGCAGCTCAGATGGTTCTAATAAATGAGTTAATCCCAAACTCAAAAGCTAATCAGCTCCCCCAAAGTGATAATCTCAATGCAAAACTGCAAACTGTGCCGATGATGCTGGGAAAGGAGGAATTTTTTGCAGTGTCACTTATTTGCAGGAGCTCATTATTCAGACACAAGCCGTTAGAAAACTTGGACAATTTTCACCACAATTTCCCTTTTTCGTGTTTTTTTTTTTTTTTTTTTTTTCCTTGTACTTCATGTAGAATGAAACAAGAAGTCCACCCAAAAAGCATGAGACAAATCAGGAATACCATGTACTTTTGCAAAAAAAAGGCACTACAGCTTCAAAACTTACCTTATATTTCTTCCCCTGGAAAGGGAAAACATGCTAAAAGCAAACAAAGAATGAGCTGATTCTGATCTCTCAAAGAGATATACAGAACAGAATAGTTCTACTCAAGGTTTTAAGAATTTTGTATTTATCACTTTTGGCTCTAGTCAAAAAGTCCTAGTAGCAGACTGGGTGGATAAATGGAAAAACAACAAGAAAATATTGCAAAACTCTGTTTGAAAAAAATACTCATAATGTTGACTGGCTCTTGTGAATACTTTCCACTTCCAGATTAAGCTTTAAGCATGTTATTAAATACTTTGTGGCATTGGGGATTCCATCCAAATGAAGACAGTTACCAGAAAGGAACAAGACAGTTAAGCTCTTTCAGATATAGCGAACAGCCCCTTGAGATTTACCCCAAACTCACTGGCTCTCCCCAGCCATATCAAGCATCATTGCTTAGCCCTGTTATAGGCTTATCTTCAAACGTGCTCTCTGAAGGTATTGCTGTACTCCTGTATTGATTAAACCCTGGCTTATCATAAGTTGATTGAGGTCCTGAAGCCTGTTCAATTAACTGTCTGCCCATTTTCATGATGCATTCTTCATCTTGCTATTCAAGATGTGCACACCACAACTTCTCTTCACCCCAGTCTAAGGAACACCTAGCCCTTCCGCTCTGCTTTTGAACTTCAGGCATATTTTTTGCTTGAAATAATATCATGATCAAAAAGGCAGTTTTAAACTGAATGTTAGTTCACATCAGTGGAAAGAAATGTGATAAAAAATGCATACGCTTGAATGTTCTTTGTTAGCTGTACAGCACTGTGGGATAAATGAACTAGTGCACGTATTATTCATCACAGCTGAAGGATTGCACACCACGCAACCAGAATGGTTTCTGTAGAGATTCTGGTACCCTGATCAGAGGCACCTCACAACAACAGTAAACCCTCTGGTGGTAGAGCTAACCCATCTGTATTTAAGACACCTGCCAACAGCCTTCTTCCAGCTTTATCACTGGTAGAAGCACCTAAGAATTTACCTCTGTTTGCCTTTAGCATCCACAGAGGTTGAAGAAATCCTGTCAATCGGGGAGCCAAATCCTGGGAAGCTTCTTTTCTTCTTGGTCTCGGTCACCTCATTCTCCAGAGACACCAGCTCATCAAGAAGGAACAGTTTGGCTGACAGGTCAGTGGCTGACTTCTCTTCATTGGCAATGGGTTGTACTCTCATGCCCAGAGCAGCAGAAGGCTTCAGAGGCTGCAAAAGAAAGGGGGGATGTTTGCTTGCAGTTCTAGAAAAACCATTGAACCAGTGTCACAGCAGCAGTCCTATAAATACATAATCACTAGGATACTAACCCTGGGCTGATGCTTTAAAACAAAGTTCCTTCTGTGAAACGTGGCTATTTTCCACCCACAGAAGTTTGCCATAAAAGGCTGGGATATTTTTTTGACAGAATTGAACTCGCCTTCATTATTATTGCGAGAATTATCAAAATTTATTACTTCACAAAGCCTGTTTTTGTAGGCCAGCCCACTATTCCTATCTCAGCACTGTGATTAGTAGCACTTATAGCATGAGCTGAGTAATGTAATCCTTTTTAAAAATGCAATCACCATTACCAGACTCCAATATCCATCTTGATATTTTTCAGAAAACCGATTTTCATTTTTTAAATGAATGTTAATAATAGTAATGAAAACTTATACAAAACTTCCCCTACAAATCTGACAAATTAATTAATTTTTATGCAAAAAATATCCCAAGATAAACTTGCTCAGCAGTGATGTTTAAAGAATGTATGCAGGAACACTATGTGGGGAGGAGGAAAAGAAAGAACAGTATGTTGACTTGACATAGAATTTTGAACCTTAGTTACGACATTAGGCTTAACAGCTTTTCAAAACCAAACTCTACTTCCCTATATGGAATAGCTGAGAATATTGTTGTCTATCAAGAGGCAAATGAAACAAATAAAAGTGAAATATTTGCTTTGTAAATAACAGAAAAATATAGGGCATCAGCTAGTCTACAAAAGCAGGTGTCAAGCTCAAATAATTTTCTCTTCAGATGAAGTGTTTCCTTCTTGCTCTGCTTGATCTTCACAGAATTAGATAAAATTTTCAAACCAAAACTTTTATTATATGTCTTGAAGCAGGTTTTCCTCTATCTTTAGAAGCACACTACGATCTTATTCATTCCCAGTGAGTTTAGTACAAACATAAAGGAAGCCATCACATGGATGATGTCATATACTTGTACCTACTGTGGCCACACCATTGTTGTGATGTTGTCATTTCCCACTACTGGTGGGTGGCAGAACCAGTGATGGAGTGTATAAAACCCTGATCTTTGTATAAGAAGGAGCACATGACCACAATGATCACACAAATGATGCATCACTGTTAACACTTTTGTAAAGCATCTAATATTGTCCTCCAACTTTACTTTTCTATGAGGGTCAAGGGCTCTGAACAATCCTTTCTGTTCCCATTCAGGGTTTTAGAATTTCAGTAGAGGTTTGCAACAAAATTATGCCTTTAAAAAAGACTCAACTCTCCTTCTGATTAGTTGGGATAAATTACAACAACACTTGAAACTAGAAGGTAAAAAATAGCTTCAGCTCTCGAGTACTTTGTGTAGTCCCACTTTGTCTTAAAAAGGATATAATAGAATTGTAAAAAGTAGAGAGACATCTAAAATGATAATCAGAAGTAGACAACAGTTTTCCTATGGTGAGCCACTGAACAAAGTACAATTTCACAGAGAAGCAGAGATAAGTGTGGGGTACAGGGGGTACAGTGGAGGGTTTATAAACTTACAAACAGCAAAGAAGTACATAAAGACTAGTAATTTTTTCCTCAAGAAAGAGAGCTTCTTAGTCCACCCAGTGAAGTCACCAGATGGTGGATTTAAAATAACTGTAAGGAGCTACTTTTTAAACATAGCACACAGATGAAGTGAAATGCATTGCCAAAGGACACCATGGGTACCAAGTTTTTAAACTGTTTCCAAGACAAATTCAGACCTATCAGCAGCTAAAACATGACCTGATCCAGTGCAAGTCTCTGGATCAGGAACTCTCTGAAGATGTTCTTTTCTTATATTCTTTTCACAAAACTCTATCATTGATAGAAACAGAATACCAGGTCTCTGTGGCATAAGAACAGGAGCTGCTGCAGCACTGATGTGGAGAGTGGTTCCCTCAAGCCCTATTTTCTATAACAAATATTATTTTGTTTAATCAGCACATATTCATTTGAAGACAGAGAACAAGGCAGAGGGATCCATCAGCATTCTTCAGCATGTATCTAACTTCTAAGCTGATCTTAAAAACCTATGTAAAGACCCTACAGCCAAACAGTGCTACTTTGATTAAACTTTTAGATCCTTGATTTTCTTATGGCATGAAACCATTACATAAATACCTTTCCTGCCAAATCTGTTTTATATCAAGATGACATCAAAAAGAGAATGCAGTAGAAGTGTTTTCAGGTGCAACCCCTGCATATCGTACTGGATAAAATATAAGACAGTCCTTCCATTTCATGTGCTGTTTTCCTTCACAAGCTTAGGCAAGTTACTTTGCTCCTTCCCTCTCTGAGTCTCTTCTGTCTCATTTAATTTGTAAATTTTGTGCAGGTGGTCTTCCCTTGGAGATCTCCTTATGGCTTCTGAAAGCTTCAGACTTCTCATGCTATTATTTGCCTTAAGAAGAAGAAAGAAACCTTCCCTTCACTGTTAGAGGAGTTTGCTTCCCCACTCCCATCACCTCCTTCCCCTCTTCAGGAAGTCACTGGACAGCTTTTTAACTCATAGAAATCTCATGGTGTTTCAGGAGAGGTTGTGTGAATCTAAGTGAGACTTCATTCTGTCTGTCCTCCCAGAACCATGCAATCTGCATTACTCCTTTCTTTGGGGAAGCTGTCCCACTCCTGCTTTGCCCTTACAGAGTCAATACCGACTGTTCACCTTCCAACACTGTTTGGAGACTGTGGTGTCTCCCACAACCTGTGGCCAAGAACAACCCAAGGAAGAGCAGGGTTATGTGACAACCACCAGAAATATTTACCTACCTCTGGAGCTGCCTCCGTGAGGAGCACTGAGCTAGAGTGCCACTGCAGAAGGGAGATCACAAGAGCCAAATGCACCACAACAAGCTGGAACTGCAGCATCTGTAAAGGAGAACAATCTGTGAATGGTTTCAGAGCTGCATTCCCAGAGAAACCTCACTCCAAAGGTCTTTAGGAAATGAAAGCAAAGGGAGATTCTGTTCTCATGTCTGTTAATATGCTATATCTCATAGAGTCACTGCATAAAACCCAGTGACCAGATAACACCAGCTGAATGCTCTCCACCTTTAGGTGCAGAATCAGCTCTCTTTTTGCTCCTTTACAGTCCTGCAAATCTTGCAATTCCTTTCTGCAAGATGTCCCAGTCCTTGCAGTGGCAGGTGCAATGAATGCAAATTGTGCTAAAACCAGATGAAGTAGACACTCACTTGTAAGAAGGGAGACTTTGGCTCACAGCCATACAGGTTGACTCTGACCTGCCCACATGCTGGATAGGTGCCTAAAGCTGTTACAGAAATCACATACCTCCCCGGCAGCATTTTGAAAGCAAGGCTGCCTTTCACCAGTCCCTAACAGGAGTTAATGGTAACCACAGCTTCCAGGATCTTCTTGGGATCCTGCAGTGAAGTTATGCAGGTCCCACACCTGGGAAAAGCTTACACGGGAATCCATCGCTCAGACTGCTGGTGTTCTGTCACAGCTGCAGAACTGCAGATACATACAGAGCCTTTAACTAATGCAGGGAGAGTCAAGTTTTTGGAGACCTGGGATCAGGAAGATGCTCGCTGCAGGGGTTTCTTTGGCCACGGGTTTAGGCTACATTGTTTAAGCCCTCATTTGGATCTAGCTCTTAAAACCCAATGTGCCTCCAACTCACCCAGATGTGAATATTTCAGCTGATGTTAATAAGAACTAGGCTGGGGCCTCTAGTGCCAAAGGTATCTACTAATTTGCTGCTTACAGGTCTCCAGGTCCTGCCCCAGTGTATAATTCAAGCCTGACTGTGCCGTTCTTTGCTCTGCTTGGCAAAAGCAGAAATAGAAAGGATGTATAAATACATTTCTATAATGTATGATAGTTGTTTTATCCTTTGTGCAGAAAATTTCCCATTAGATCAGGCAGAAAACACATGGTAAAAAACATCTGGCTTTATATTTTTTGCCCACACTACAAAGAAGAAAAGCCACAAAAGTGTTTGGAGTCCAGTTTTAAAAAGACAAGATATAACATTTGTAGTGTTGTTTCTTGAAACTCTGTTTCTTGTTTGGCTTTTTCAATGCATTTTACTTGTGTTTCTGTTATTTGGTTAACCCATTACATGTATATTTTTTTTTTAATATTGACCATAAGGGATCAGCAATGAGGAAGAAGCTGCTGGTTACTCTGTAGGGGTGAAGCAGACTAAGTTCAGTGGAATCAAAGGACAAAGTCACAGCAGTAAGCCAGGTGGTACCACTGTCTCTAAGTCCGACGGCAACAGCCATGAAAGTCAGACAAGGGTCTGCCTGGGTGTTTTTAAAGCTGTAACTCTCTACAATGTATATTTTTGTATGTGGGTGTGCCTTGAAATTTGAAGTAGTAGTCTACTACCTTCACAGGTAACCACATCCTGATTATTTGGATACAGAGATATAAAAATAAATGGCAAGGTTAAAAACACATGTTTATTATGGTTTAAGATATGTGTTGGTATTCATTCAACCCAAAGACCAAAGGGCTAAAAATAGCAAGTGGTACGCTAATCAAAATAAACATTAAGGCACCTGCAACACAAAAGACATTTGATTAACTGGTCAGAACTCAACGGAAGCGGAGGAAATTGTAGGGACTTAAAGCTTGGCTCTAGTTCCCATGGAAAGGAGTAGCTAAGAAGCAATGTTACTGGTTTAAATGGGAGCAAAACTTAAGTCCAGCAAGATCCTGTTGTGCTGATTTTCAGGCAGTGTTGTGACCAAAGCGGGAGAAAGAAGCAGGTTTGGTCTAGTGGAGAAGTTTCGCTTTAGAAAAGCATTTGCAAAACTACGGGTCTAATGAGGAATATGTAAACATAATTAAAATCCCACTATCTTCTGCTTGTTTGGGACTTAGCTTTCCACCTTCAGCCAGGTTATAGGTTCTTAGTTGTTGAAAGCAGTTGCTGCTTTCTCACCTGTTGATCTCACCTTTTGCAACTGGGTAAGCAGAGCCCTCCTACCAAGCAATACACCATTTATTGCTTCACCTCATCCATGTTTTACCTTGGTCCACTCCAAGAGAGACCTACAGTGAGGCTTAACAGTACTTGTTACTGAAGGAGAACAACCAAAGCTCTGAAAAACATCCTTCTTCTGAAAAACCTTGAATTTCCAGCTTTCTTTTGAAAAACTCTTCACCACCAGTTTCACAGAGATAGGTCAAGGGATTGAGGTATAATTCCAGGTCTTTTGTATCTCAGGCTCTGGTCTGATATTATCTAACTTAAAATATGGTTTGCCCTTCACTAAATGTAATTGCAAGTCTGAAATTCAGGCTTATTTATATGTTTTAGTTATATTTTGGCTTGAAATGTGTCAAAACTAAAATTAGGTATCTTTGTTGCATGTCCAATTAAAATAAAATTAAAGATAAAAGAGAGAACATTATTCTACCTTATCAAAGCAGGATAAACATTCAAAACTTTTTCTTAGGAATCTGTGCAGAGCCGTTTTCCAAGAAAAGATCACAAGAAAGCAAAATTCTTTACCAAACAGAAACTGTTAAGTCTCCAACATCAAACCAAAGGACTTAAAAGATATTTTTCTTTTAAAGAAAAAAAAATAAAACAAAAAACAAAATGACATCCTGAAGATAAGTGGGCTGAACAAACCCCAGACAGCATGCAATTCATCACCAAGCTCCAAACCCATTGCCTGTCAAAAATGGTAACAGCTGTCATTGTTCTTACCCATTTGAACTATCATATTTCACATTACTGTGGAGATTACTCTGCAAGTATAAATCACAAGAGCTTTATTTTTCTTGCTGGCCTGTTAGCAAGAGAACTGAGGCAAGACATCATGACTTGCACTGTAATCTTTCACTTCAGCTGCCGCTATATATTGATGACTACGCTCTGCTTCTTCTTGTAACACCAACATGGGACATGCCCAAGCTCAGCTGTGAACAAGGACCTTGCTCTTGCAATGAGGACATTGTGGCTGAGCCCAGAAACCCCTGGGGTTCTTGTGCTGTATGCTCCCAGGCTGACCTGACACAGAGTCAAGGCATGACTGTCCTGTAGGCACCGGGAAGCTCCAGGCAGTGCCCACTGGGACTCCAGTCCGTCTGCTATATGAGCACTAGAGTGGTACTGGTGAGCCTCCACCACCTCTTAGCCATGAGGATCTCTCATGCCATGCAGATTCCAAGCAGCAAAAGGGAAATCAAGACTGTGCCTGCAAGCCAGTTACTGATGTATTTTGTTGCTGCTCCTGTGCCACAAAATAGAAAATTAACTGCTGCTACCTATCTTAATCAAATGCACCATTGACTCATAAAATTTACCTCACTAGCCTTGGATTGGACACCTGATGGGAATCTATCTTGGCCAAAAAAATTTACAATAGATTAGTATCTTGCCAAAAGAAGAACTTATAAATAGCTTGTGTGAAGCTCTGATAATAAGTCGGCTCTTGCTGAAACAAATTTCCCTATTTTAAAAGTTGTAGGATGAATACTCTGAGCGTATTCATTGCCACAAAGCCAAAAATATGCCCATACCAGCAGTCCTAGTGATGTCAGAAACTCCTAAGGGACCATGTATATCTTGTGTAATTTTTCAGTCGTGTAAATATCAAAGAAAGGGGAGAAAAATCAAAACAAATCCCACCTTTGGAAGAAAAAAGAAGAGTCCAAAAATAGGTTAGAGTGGTGGTTTTGCTCTTATCCCACAGATGATATTTGGAGCACTTCTTACATGCTGCTTTCTCAAAAGATACTGAAACAAGACATTGAAGCATGGGACTTTGTGGCAAAATGAAATGTAAGCAGTGTAAGGCACTTTATGTTATTCATAATGTGTTTCCTGGAGTAGGTGTAGATTTTTAAACAATACCAACAATAAACTTAAGACTAGTGATTTTGAGAAAATATCTAGTTATTTTTGTGTCCCAAGTGAAACATTTCATCTGACAGTTTCAAGGCCAAGGATGTTTCACTTTCTGAAAATGAAGTCCCTTAAAGGTTTTTCAAGAAGGCAGTTCAGATTAGTCATTGCTTTTCAAAGTCTTAACTTCAGTGATTGCATTCAGTGTAACAATATGATTTCCAGTGTTTGGTCCCAATGTCTTTTCATATCATCATGACAGCATCTTTGCCTGTATTTCACCAAAGTAACTATTATAAATGCTGACTCAGCTATTGATAGTTGTGCTTTTGATAGACACACATATGGTCAGAAGATGCTCAAGTATACAACTGTTCCTACTATCTGTACTCAGATAAAGCAAATTAAATGATGGCTTAGTCCCTTCAGGGTTTGACTAGACTCGGCACCAATCCTGCCCATGGAAGGTGCAGCATTTGTGGGAGCAGCACAGGAATCACATGGTTCACGTGAAGAAAGGCTGAAAATGTGGCACCCTTGTTCCCATGCAGTGTATGGAAACTGTCCAAATGAACACAGCCCTGCTGGGGTACATTTGCTTAACAGACACAAGCATGAATCAGGAAAAAATTAACTGACACAGGTGGACAAATACTTGTGAAAGATGTCTCTTCGTTTGAATAAAGAGCATGAAACCAAATGGCCACACAGAACAAATGAGGACACTGTTCCTTAGAATAGGCAAGATGGAGACAAGCTGGACATTTGCAAAACTGACATGTAATAAATCAATTTTTAGCAAAAGATTTTAGAAACTTCAAACCCCAAACTCACTTCAATACCATAAAAGTAGGAGACATGAAGCAGGAGACACAAACAGAAGTCATAAAACCCATCTAGAAGCCTAGAGACTATTAAATAAGAAGGCATACTATAAAGTGTAAGGAAATATCTCTTAATGGAAAGAACCTACTTCCACCTTTCCTAAGTGAGATAATTGAGCAAGCTACAGTATTTTTGGTATGTACAATGGAAAACAAAACATTGTTAGACTATTCTTCATTGCCAAACTCTCAACTCTACACTATTTGTGTATGTACTGATTGAATATATCAACTTTTGTTAACATTTCTAACAACTTTGCATTTAGCTTTCTTCCTTCATCTTTATCATGAGAACTAAAAACTGTTCATTGTTAGAGTGTCATCTTCAGCATTTGAAGTAAAAATAAGAAACCTTTCTATCAATTAAAAAAAACCCCAAAACAACAAGAAATATATTGTGTTTTCCTACATGCAGAAAAATCATCTCCTGTCCTAACAACACTGGAGTGATAAGTGAAAGCTCTTCAGAGCTGATATAAAGAATATATTATCAGAATATGTTATCAATACAAAGACATAGGCCATTCAAAGCTCAGTAAAAATATCCTTCAGGATAAGCTCTTAAGAGACAAGATTGGCATTGGAATTTCTTAACAAGAGCATCGAACACTGATGCTGATTTACTGGATAAACACTTTTAAATGTTCAGATCAAGGATATGAACTAAAGAAGTAAAGTCAATTGCTTGGTGAAGATGTATTGCAAATGGAAATTAGAGAGTAACCTGTTCCTCTGGGTGAAAAGGAAAGCTGCAATCACTTGCAATGTTTTTTCAGGGTCAATCAAGAGAGTTCTTACAACTGTTGTATGGTTCAAGTTTTTAATTTGCCATGTAAGAAGCCCAGGGAGGTACAGTTGTCATTCATTCAAAGAGTGAAAATGAAACCCTAATCTGCTGAAATCAGCGTGGCAGGTTTTTAGGAATCCTGAAGAACACCTGGTCCAAACAGATGTATTTTTACAGTCTTCCCAGCATTTACACCCCAAGTTTGCTTGGTTTGGCATTGGGTTTTTTTCTTTGCCTATTGTTCCTCATGATATTTGAAGTATTTTTGAAGAAAAGTAGGTTGAGCTGCATTTTGAATACAGGTGAACAGAGAGAGATAAATGTAATGATTTGCCCCAGGCTTCCTGAGGGAACCAGTGGGCAGGGGCACAAAACGTCCCTGCAGCTCCTCAGCTTTCAGCTCTGTACTTCCTGTGAGAGGATGGTCATTCCAAACTGAAAAGCCAAGTAAGGAAAGCTAAAGGCACTGTATGCTTGTGCTTCAAAAATTAGTGGATTCTGAACTTTGCTGTAGCCTCTGGACATCTAAACCAAAGGTTATTCACATGTATTTACTCATATGGCTTCAGTCTGGGAGGCAAAAAGAATGGAGAAATTACAATGACCATCACTGAATTAATCTGCCTTCATTCCCAGTGGTACAAAGCTGAAGTAATCAGATCACTGGATAATGATAATTACCCTGTTAGTGTAGGAATGTTTTTGCAGGGTTATTCTTGTTATTGCAGGAACACGGCAGAATCTGGATCAACATTTATCTAATATGGGATATAATAAAACCTTTCTGTGGATCCATAAAATTAAAGAAAAATAATTTCCCTAAATGGTTTATCTTGTGTTTTACAATATATTACATGCAGCAAACTTGTCTTACCACATATAGTATTTAGTAATGCAAAGGAACCATTCTGTCATAGCTCCTCAGCTTATTTTAAGAAGTAATATGCATTTGACAATAACATATACAGAGGAAAATCCATAACAATATAAGCAGACAGCAGTTTACTGCAAAGCACTGTAAAAACATGAAAGTAACTAGTCACTGTTGTAAAATACACTGACACATCTTGTTTAAATATTGTCTGATTAACTGAAGGAAATAAGTTTCCACTGAATGTTATTAGTTCTGTTTTAGTGCCAGAACAACTAAGTGATAAACATCTTATTTTAATCTCAAACTGGAAAAAGAAGCTGTGCTTTTCCCATCAGAGATGGGCATGTGTATACCTTGTGCATGTCTGTTAATACAAAAAATTTGAAAAAAATTAAAAGGAAGAAAGCACAAAAGGGAAGAAAGCTTCTGTGAAAAGAGCAGAAGACACAAAACATCCCCAACCCATCTCTGTCCTCACTCATCTTACCTTGCAGTGGATATAAGCAATTCCAACCTTAATGGTCCTGCTATGTTCTTCCCCCTAACTTATTCCTAATGTTCAGCTTTCTTTCAGAGTTTTTATAGTCTCTGCTGTAGGCTACAAACTCCAATCCCTGCCTTTGCTTTCTCTTACATCATTTCTAAAGATTTTCCACTGATCCTTGCCCTAAACCTTTCTCTGTCTTGCACTCTCACACACATACTTGCCTCACATGTGTTATATTTATTGTTCTGATCAAGATTATTAGGTTATAATTAAAGGTCTAGGGTTTTTGTTGTTGGTTGTGTTTTTTCTTTCTTTCAGAGTATCACGCAGCCAGCCGTGGGAGTGGAAAGATTTTCAGCAGCACCACCATTCCTCTAACCTCTCGCTTCTGCAAACTGCAGTAGAGAAACCTGATGTCCTGAATTATTTTTAAAACTCTGTTTCTAGGGGGCAACAGGAGTAACTTTAGAAGGACTGTATTTACTTAAGGAAGAAATTAATTACAGCATTTTTAGTAGACCAACGCTATTGTAAGATAATTAGAAAATGAGTGTGTTTTGTAAAGTCACAAGAACTTAAGTCTTTCACTTTATTTCAGTTATTGAAACGATTGTAAAGGGTGATCTGTGAAAATATCTTCACTATGCAGTACCAGAGGACCTATTTCTTTCTGTTTGCCTGTACATTAGAATGTGTCTATATTGGGATTTTGCTCCTTTTTCTTTATCTCATTTCTTAAATGATTCACATAGCAATTGTAGACCCATTATTGTGTCTAAAATTCCAACCTGTGCAGACTCCTTAACAGTTAATTCATAGTGACTTTGTTTTCTAAACAGACAGGCATGGCACTTTCAGAATAGTTTTTACTCTGACTTTCCAAAAGCCCTTCCTACAAGCAACAGAGAGTAAAAGGAAACTTCAAATGTAGCTTTGCAATAGGTGGAAAAAAATTTGCCAATCAGGGAACAAAAGCTTTGATTTCATCATCTATCTTGATAAGGGTGATTAGAGAAAAAGACTAGAGTTTAATCTTATTGCAACACAGCTCATTTCCCAGATGAAGATGGCCACAGAACTTTGAGAAGCTGACATAAAGTGCCAAATCAGGACAGTTCATTGCAAAGCATGTTTTTGCCGCACTCCCTGACTGAGGTATAAGGGGGAAAAAAAGTAAATGGAAAATGAGAGGCTGGTTTTGATCATGAGCACAACACAAATCTACAGCCCTAGAAAAAAAAGGAGAGGCAAAGCAAATATTTCTACAGCATCTTTCAGTATAGGCAGGTATGAGAGCATGGCCTAGTGTAGTGCTGCAAAAATATGAATTACCCACATGAGCACCCACGCTGACATCAGGCTGGAGCAGACAGGTTGGGACTGTTTTCCTCTGCAGTGCATAGTGGAAGAGTGATGGCAGCTCCAGAGGTCCAAACGGGCTCTGTGGGTACCAGAGCAGCAGCAGAATCAGAAGGGCAGAGTGAAACAATGCCAGACTGCTGAAACACAGCTAAAAATGCTGCTACTGGAAGAGAACTGGACTATGCTCTGTTTTAGAGTGTTACCTGCATTTAGATGGTATCTTGTTACTGGAAGTCCAAGGACAGAGCTGGACTTGACTGATGTGCATAAACATGTGAGCAGGATCTCAGGAAGAAAGATAACCATGATCTAAACACAAGATATTATTAGATTTATTTGGTACCTTCACTACATAGAGCCATGAGGTGTTGCTGACCAGCTACTGAAGTCCTAGGCACTCAGTTTCTTTCTCTTTTTTTCTGTTGGAAAGACACAAGGCAGCACTCACAGGCATTTATTCCTCTTATGAGTTTTTATAGGCCCTATCTCAAGCTCTTTAAGCAGGATCTCTGTAGGGCTCCACTCTGTCACCATGTTTGGTGTTGATGAGCCTGGAAGGAGACATGGGCTGTGCCACTGTGAGTAAGCTGACGCCAGACAACTGAATGCTGGTAACACAGGCATTTCAGGATTTCTTAACAGGGGGTGAAGCCTGGACGATGGCTGAGACTCAGCTGGCTGAGGTTTAGCACCTCACAAGACTGAGTGGGGTGGTGGGCTGGGGTAAAACCAGGAGGAGAAATGCATCCATATTGTCATCTCCATTGACTCCAAGAGGATCTCTAAGACCTGGTACTAAAATCTGTCTTCACTGATGGGTGAGTCTATAACCAAGCTCCAGCCTCTTTTGTACCACCTGGACCTACTGGGAGGTTGTGGCTCTCGCTTTTAGGGAAGTAATTTGCATTTTTTCCTGTTTCAAAATCAATTTATCACCATGCTTTTCCTACAAAAGCATGAAATCTGAAAGATTTCAGAAATGGATGCTGATACACACAACTCTCATCATCTCTGACTGGGAGGTGTGAAAGAGTCGGATCTGAGTAATTAGCCATCTTCATGGGCTGATACTGACCTTGGAATAGGACATACGTTACCAGCAAATAGTGTTTTTTTCTGGAAAAAAAAAAGGGGGGGGGGTGCGGGAGGGTTGAATGTGGAGAGAGATAAGAACAGTGGTAACATTTCATTTCCTGCTCTGAATTTACTTAGATTTAGCAACAAGCTACAGATACCTTTTTGACACCATGTAGAGAAGGCTGATAAGGAAACTTCCCAGATAATGAAAAAGGTAAACGGTGGTTACTTATCTGGCAGAGTGCCCAAAGAACAGACGTACTCAACACTGCTGTGGTTTAATTATACTTACAGTATAATTAAGTTAGGGCAACAAGAGTTTGGAAAGAATCTTCATTGTCTTAACTATAAATGAATAAGCATATGTCATGTGATTTTATCAACTATGAAGACAAAAAAAAAAATTGGAAGAGGTAAGGACACAAGACATGAAGCTCTTTTTGTTACCATCCAAGAGAAAGACAAACTTGCCTCCCTCTGCCCTCATGCTCTTGCCAAGTATTATCTGTAATTCTTTCAACACTCAGTTACAAATCAATTGAGCTAGCTCAATGTTTTCCTTAATTCCTATAACAGACAAGTTCTTACTCAGAGAGCAGGAGTTAGTAAAGGTTCACTTGTGTTACGTGTTGAGAAATCCTGTTCTTCATCAGCCTTGCCTGTGGAAACTACATTTGGGTTTGTCAGACATCATCTTTAGAATCTTAGGAATGACACATGAATACACTGACACGTGCTTGCTAGTTTTGCTGTATCATACTTTTAATCTTTTTCTTCTCCCACTAAAACATGCAGCAGTACTGTTAGATCACTGTGGTCTAAGTCACTGGTCTCCTCTTTCCATCATTAAGTTCCCTCATGGGAACACTAACTTCCAGCCTCTTCAGATTATGTCACCCTTTCCATCGACCACTGATTCCTCACACAAGGTCACACATTTGTAATTTATAAATCAACATGAATAGTGCAGGGTCCAGAAAGCACTATGACCAAAGCAGCAGACCTGTCCTCAAGAGTTTTTGATTGAGCTGGCATGGAGTAAAAGCATGTGACTTGATACAATCTGATTGCTAGGATTATTCGCAGTTTCACTAAACAGTGAGTTTGTAGTTAGAAATAATCTAGTTCTGGGTTTAATCTAGGAAACAAGGACAACATTGAAGTTAGAAAAAGTGGAAACTTTTTTCCAGTTTTTGAAGACTTGCCCCAAAATTCTAAGAAATAATCCAAGAACTATTTTCTTTTCAAATGAAACTTTTTTTTCTCTTTTTTAAATGAAGAGCTGATCACAAGTCAGGTGCTTAGCGGTACTGATTCACATGGCTCTGAGATAAACAACTGAGATATTCCAAATTATGGTGCCTTCGATCTATTTTTATTCCTTTAGATAATAAACTCTTCTGATAAAATTGGCTCTATTCTGACCAGTCTGAAAGTGAATTAGTATTTAATCAGATTAACCAAACACCAGCATTTTATAGCTACATCACTGGCCCAGGAAGAACATCCAATATTACTTTTGTTGCGCTTACATTCATATCTTGTCTAGAGAAGAAGAAACATTTTAAAATAACCACCACAGATTTTCAGTCAATATATAAGAGGGAATTTTAGAAATCAAGCTGATTCTCATCTATTTCAGTCAGATTTAAAGAGACAGAGAGCAGATGACTCACTGCAAGACAGAACTATGGAAAAGAGACCTTGCATTAACAATGTGTATGCATGTTTTCCAGTTAAAGGTACATTCTACCTTGGAAGGAAAAATTATGTCAAGACATCTATTTTTAAATCTGTAAGCTATCAAAGTAGCTTTAGCTGTGTCACTTCCATTTAAGATGACTCCTTGAATCTAGATAGATTTTGAGAAGCAAAACCCACAAAATGAAGGTAGCATATAAAACTGAAGACAGTAACATTCTCAGGAATGTTAGGCTTCCTACTAGCAGTTTCTCCATATGTACTTTTAAAAAGTCCTTTGTGCTAGAATTAAGTGCTTGTGTTAGGAGCTGGGTTATGACATCTACGAATCCATAAAAAGCACTCAAAAAAAGCAAAAATCCCAAACGGGCAGTTTATTGAAATGCAAGTTTTTTTCTGTAACAGTGGTGCAGAAGGATGTGTTTGGAAATAAAAAAGACAGTTTACCTTTGTGCCCGTGCCACTGACTCCCAGCCCAAGATGGCCATGAAGAGTGAAGATGGCCAAGGAGAGTGACAGGGCTTTTTGTACCTTGGACACAGTGGTCCACAGCCTAATGGATGAGAGGCAACAAAACCATACAAAGAGGTCTCAAAGTACAAAGCAAATAGTTATTCTGGGCCAATATCAGCCTGGTTCTAATTCAACTGGCAACACAGAAATGAAAGTGAGTAGGCTGTGTTTCCATCCCCTCTAGCTACACTACTTGGAGTCAATGCTAAATATAAAGATGACAACCTGAGAACCACCCTCACCTTTCTGAGCTAAGAAAGAGGGACGAGAAAGAGCAGTGCTGATGTTTTCACATTGCCTCCCTTGTCAAAAACATGTGTGCTGATATCACCTGCCACCAAAATAAACTTTTT